TCTTGCATTGAGGGATTAGGCTGCCTTTTGAAGACCTAATGTCTGCTGCAGCTTCTACTGGGATGTTATACCTTCACTTGTGCAGTTTCATCTCACCCACATTTTACTTGGAGGAGGGTGATTAGCTCACAGATACAAGGAGCTAAATATGACAATTGCTGAGGTAGGTTAGATAACTGAGGTGCCATTTGGGCTACTGCTTGAACTGGTATAGTCCTGATAGATACTCCTTTTCTTTCCAGATCTACAGATATCTCTCCTGTAGACACATAATCGTATTTTAAATGTGATTGAGAAGAGATAATTAAAAAATCAACTGATGATTCCATCCTGCTTTATGATTGTGGGTTGGTTTTTTTTGTTGTTGTTGTTTTGTTTTTGTTTGTTGTTAGGTTTCTTCTTTTAAATGATACTTTCAAGCATCTTTGTTTTTTTACCATTGAGCAAGTGCAAAATGAACTCACAATTCTTAAACATACATGTGCAAGTCAAAAAGCCCTGTGCCTAAAACATTCCACACAGTTACCCAACAGTAATCTGCTTATAACCCAACATAACAAATAGATAATTAAAGATGGCAAAAGTAATAACATTGCCTTCTGAATGAATTGTGATGGCTCTCCAAACAATGTTATCTTTAGTATTTTAATAAACTGGTTTCTGAGAGTTACCAGCCACTGACAGATAAATGCAATAAATTTGTATTGACCAGCTCAGAGCTGGTCAATGATCAATGTCAAGGATAAGAATATTGTTCAGATATTCCTGGAGAGAGCATATATAAAGAATATTTAATACAATCTAAATTGCTAGCTGGAATCAGAAAAAGGGCTTTTAATAGATATGTGGCACAATAGCAATTTTCTACCTCACCATATTGCAATAATGGAAAATTCTGTTGAAAGCATCTGGCTACGAAACCACAATTTATAAATTAGGCTTGCTTTCACTCCAAAAGTCGGGTTTGAAATGTGTCTTTGAGGCTGTGCAGAATTCTGACTTTAATGCATGGGCAGCGGAGTTCAGAATTTTGTCTTCAACACTGAAGGGTTATTAATGTGGTCAATCAAACATTGAGTCCAATAGTAGAGGCAAAAGAGCTTGGAGAAATACAGAAGAGCTCTTCTCTGTGAATAAGCTGGGTATCTGCAGGCAGTACAGGCTACATAGGCTGAGCCAGATGCACAATTTATGAGCTCAAACATATTAAATCTGTTTTATAGAGTTTTAGCACCCTCTGAGAGTGGTTGGATTTAGATTAAAGTAGTGCGAGTCCTCAGTTTTGGATGTGTATCTGTTTTGTGAATCCAGGTTTTGGCAAGGGATGTCTTAAGACAGTGGCCCCAATTCAAAGTTGAGCTCTAACACATCACAGTTATGTATGGCTGTCAGAGATGCATGAGCTGGAGATTTTAGAGGCTCAAAAGTGAAGGTGAAACACCCAAATCATATGTGAGCAAAGATTCAGACATGAAGGCCAGTGCTCAAGATTTTAAAGATTGATTTGGAAATGGCATTATTTAGCTTGTGTTTTGAGAAATCTGAGCTTTCTTAAGTTTCCTGGAAGTTGAACTGGGCAGTTTGTTTCATTATTCCAAACACTGACTTGATTAATATTAACACACACACTTTCAGGGATCAGTATCACAAACTTTTCAGAAGAGAATAAAAAAGAAAGTAAAATTTGGAATTACACTCCAGTCTTACTTCTGTGATTCAAAAAAATTCTTTCTTAGAAAGATCTCACACCTGCATTGGACAGGTGAGGTCAATGAAATTACAGAAAAGTGAAATTCCTTTGAGTGAGATGAACATCAAAGTCCTGTGCTTTGGACAGCTTCCATTGCAAATCAGTAAAAAGATTCATCACTTATGTGAGATATTTAGATTAGTGAAGTTAACGAGAATGGATTTGCTGATATTTAAAGCAAAAAATTCCAAGATTACAGACAGGGGACTTAGAGAATAAATTGAATGCAAACCAGCAAAAGTGTGTTTCTAATTTAGTGGCAGGTTTAAACCTGCCACCAAGATTACAGACAGGGGACTTAGAGAATAAATTGAATGCAAACCAGCAAAAGTGTGTTTCTAATTTAGTGGCGTTTTTAAACCTGCCACAACACTGAAAAATCAAGGTGATGATGCAGTTGTTCTGTTATGCTCCTCTGTGTAGAAACTTTTCCCCCCCAGCTGCATACTCCCGTGGTGTCAAATGCATTTGTGAACCCATAAAAATCATCCAGATCAGAAAGGCTGGGCAGAAAGAAATCTGATGTGAGATTTTGTGCTTTTGTAGAAAAAAAACATCCATCTCCCTACTGATTTTCTCTTGTGGCAATGCTATTTCTCATTATTTTTACTTACTCATTGGCAATTTACTTTCACCACCTGGGACAGCTCAGCAAAAGTTAAAGAAGTGCAACATAGCTATGCCAGAGAAAAGTGCATGCACAAGTACACATACACACAAGCACATCCAGCTGGTTTTGCTACTGCTCTTCTTCCCCCACACGTCTTTTTTACTGGAGCAGTTAGTGTGAAATGGGGATGTGTGTGATGATTATCTCCTTGCTGCACAGCCACGGGGTTCTATCCTCAGGGCTGGCAGCAATTTTTAGAGGAGCACTGCAGGAGCATGCATGGCTCTTGAACAGCTAATCAGGGGAGAGAAGGAGGTACATCCTCCACTGCCGGAAAAAACTGTTGCAAAGAAGAAATAAATTGTCCCATTCTCTGGTCCATCTCGCTCCTTCACAAAAGAAATCACAGGCCTTACCTTCCTTCACTTCTAATTTAGATGTGAATGTTTTACTTACAGCGTAGCACACATCCTCTCTCCTCACCTCTCTGCTTTCAGCCCCTCATGCCTGCTCTCTAGAGCTCATCTGCTACCTCCTGACAGTCAGGTTTTAATCCACAACAGTTCAGCTCCTCCTCGCACTCCTCTTGTCCTCTACCTGAATATCTTCACCATCCTTACTCTCTTTTCTCTAATTTCCACCCTCTTCGCTTTCAGCAGAAAATTGACAATTTTATTAAACTCTAGCAAGGACAGTGCAGTCAGAAACATTAGTACAAAACAAAGTGACAGAGTCCTGGTGGTGGAAGGGTCTCCTCAGTACCTTGGTAGAGTCTCTGCTACTTGCAACATTTTAAACATTACTGAAGCAAAGCTGTTTAATATGCATAGCACCAATTCTGTACCTGAGAGAAGAAATGAAAAAGACTCAGATTTTTCCTCCTTCGAGCCTGTATTCTTTTCTATTCATTGTGACCTTGTTTTTTAGGCTTTATAAATTGTTGGACACCTCTCTCTATCTTTAGCTAGTCCTCTTTCACATCTCCCTGTTCTCCCTCATTCTTTGCATATAATTATTTTCTTGCTGTACACCTCCCTGTTCTATCCCAAGTTTGCTTCTAGCAGAAGTTTCATGGTTTCGTTAAAGACTTTCTCCTTCAGACTCTCAACTTCTAAATATTTTACCTGCACAAGGGATTTAGTATTATTCTGGAACCTATGCAGAAATCAACACTGAATATACCATACTGATTTGCCAGAAGGAAAATTCCTCCTGCAACATAGCCAGGATGGGAAAATCAATGTTTCTTCTCTTTGTTGTTGTTTGGTTTTTTTTTAAATGTTTACTACTGGAACTAAAAACATGAGACAAAAAAGGGATAGCTCTTAGGAATGGCATGAAACTTTAAAAATCACCTTTTTGCTCAGAAGTCAGTTAGGTAAAACACCACTAAGAATGGTTTCATCACAGTAAAGTGAGAACTGGTTTTACATTAAAAGGCAATGTTAAAACGTACATTCAAAAAAGTGATAAATCAGGCATAAGGTTAAGTAAATAAATGACAATTTGTTATCATCTCAGAGTTTAGAGCATATAGAAATCTATGCTTGACTGTCTCTGATACAATCAGTTTACAACAGTTTAACAAACCATTAATATAGAAACGTCCTAGGAAGGAATCTTGTTTCCAGAGTGATATTACTAAAGTACCTCCAAATTTTGCTTTGCCAACACTGAGCCAGGCTGCATCCCACTGTTCAGACTTTACGATCCATTACCAAATGCCTCTTCATAAAGTAAAAAATCGCACAAACAAGAAAAAATCACCACTGCTTTCTCTAGAGAAGATCTCTGAAACAAGGTTTTGTTTAATGCTCACAAATTTGTTCAGAAAACTGCGATCTGATTTTAAAAGGTCTCTTGCCATAGAGATGCTAAAAATATACATATATTCTTTTTTCCCCAGCTTTCTTCCCACTGTATTCAACCTCCCCTCATTCAGGTGGGCTGGAGAACACAGTAATTGCAAAAGAAATCTGGTAAAAAAATGAGAACAAGAGGAGACCCACTCCTACTGAAGTCGGTAGAAACATTTCCATTACCTTCCATAATCCCCGCATTCAGATACTGAAAAAAGAACCGAAACAGCTCAAGACTTCAAATAGAATAATTCCAATTTTCTTTGGGCTGAATGTCAACCACCATATTCAAACATGATTCTACTCTGCCTGTTCTCAAACTTGCAATTTGGTGCATGCTTACATCTTCTCATACTCTGACTTCAGTTGTAAACAATGAGAATCTGATTTTTAAAATCACCCCAAAACCCCCACAACAAAGCCACCATTCAGTATTCCTTGCTGAAAGATGGTAGAAACAGAAATGTTGGAGGATTATCCTTCAACAGTGGATGAGTGGATGGTGGATGTTAGTTTGACAACAGATATGCATTTACACATATATGTACATATATATACATACACAATCTCTATATACATATTATAAATATAGTAATAAAATATTGTAAAAATATTAATTTGCTCAAATACATGATTTAAGTGGACTATTAGTATGTTGCATTTATTTGACCTATCTAGTTGATATGATGGCCTTGTTAGGAAGCCATAAAATCTACAATACTTGAGATTGTTAAAAATAAAGAGTCTTTATTTCTGAGTCACCTCATGCCATGCCAAGAAGTTAGGTTGGAGGTGGGCCCTCATGTCTCAGCATCAGCTTGAAGGACCGAGCAAAGTTGTTGGCCAGTGTGCAGCTGTGGGTCTCCTCTGCAAGGGGCAGGAGGACAGCCAGGAGCAGGAGGAGCAAGAGGAGTAGTTGCAGTGGCAGTGCTGCCCAGCACACTCGATGCAGGAAGGAGCACACACGTCCAGAGCGCTTCTGAAAGGCACAAATCAAAGAGAAACTTAGAAAAATACAGACCTCGAGGTGTGCATTTCAGTTACATCAAACTGCCAGGTAGAGGGGGAGAACAACCCATGTTGTCCTTGCCCTGGGATCCAGCCTGGGTGCTTGGTGTGCTCCAGCTGACTGAAAATGGTACCTAAACCATTTATTTTAGGACAATATTTCACTTTCTTGAAGAATTCACTGCTGCAAAGTGTTTTCTTCTAGCATGAATCCAGTTTGAATCTGCAAAACTAGAAGAAAACTTTTTTGGGGCTACAGAATTCAGGAAAGAGTAATTAAGAAGTGAGATTTTCCCTGGCAAGATTCCTGGGTATCTCTTGTCCATCAGATGAACTATGTGTCATCATCCAGGTTGGATGAGGCTTTGTGCAGCCTGGTCTAGTGCGAGGTCTCCCTGTTCATAGCAGGGAGGTTGAAGCCTGATGATCTTTAAGGTCCCTTCCAACCTTAACCATTCTATGATTCTATGTTTTGTTGTGGTGAAGCCACAGGCAACGTCAGTACTGCAGCAGAATTAGTTCTGGCCTCTCCTGGATCCTTGGCTCAACAGGCAATGCCTTTGTCCTACTAAAGCACCACATGAATACTCTGTAGGAAACTTCAGCGGAGAACATAAAGGACAGAATGATGGTAGAGAAAAATAATGATCCCTTTCTATTTTTAAGGGTCTCTCTCTTCCACTGCTTTCTAAATTTCTCAGTCTCTTGCAGCTCTATATAAATGCTTACAGAATTAATTATGAAGGCAAACATATAGCTGCAGTTACAGATCATGAGACAGTTGTGCTGTGAAATCCTTCTTCTGCTGTAGTTGGTTTGCTCCCATTATACCAAATGGCTAATGAGATTTAATTATTGTGTCAGGCAGATGCAGCAGAGCAACAGCTGCTTGCTCTGTCATTCTTGACCTGCAGTATCTGAGTTGTAACTTACTTGCCAATTAAAAAAACAGGCATTTGTATTTTATGAACTTTAGTCTTTGCTTTCCAGCTTCTCCCTTTTGTTTGATTACATAGCAAGGTCAGAATCTTGTATTTGACTCCACGTGTTGCCATGGGAATAACTCTGCTACCACAAACATGGTATTATGATGTCTCTGCAGGACTGAAGATGAGGCACACAAGAGCTGTGAGGGTTTGGTGCTTTCAGCAAATTTGCAATGATAAACCCTTAATATATGAGGGCCCCAACCTGCATGCACTGAAATCCATGGGAGATTTACTATTAACTTCAGTGTCTGCAGCAGGATTATGCACAGAGACAACTAAATGAAGTCAGGATTGAGAAATGCTTATTCCTGGAGTTCAGCAGATACTCTTACAAATGGATTCATTACTTACATGCCCAAGTTTTGTTCTGATGGGCTCAGAGTGATCCAGGCTGTACGTGTCTACTTGGAATCAGGACCCCACTCCCAACCCTTCAGCACATCATTGTGGGTTAGAGAAGGGCAGTATGACACAGTTCCACCTTTGCAAAAGTCAGTTTGAGCATTTAATTTCTATATGAGATCAAAAGTGGGATCCACAACCCTTGCTATGCAGTGGAATTCCCCTTCCCTAATCACTCCAGCTCCTGGCACCAGTGCAGCTGCTGCCCAGCACCCACAGTGCCTGCAGTGCGTGTGTTAGATCCAGGCTCCACTAAATATTCTGAAATAAAATCTTTCTCTGAGGAAAACTGGCAAAGCTCCAGTGAAGTCAACAGAACTTTAATTTCCACCATCTTAGAATAACAGCTGGAATACCTGGGTATTGAGCCAAAGTGTCAGAGATATTTTTGAAATACAAATGGAAAAGGAATAAGTTGACATTTAAAAAGAAAATATACTTTTAAAGTTTGCCATCAAGGATAAATGTCCTCCCCCTTCTCCCTAAAAATACCAGGACAAGCAATGACTGTCAAGGGGTAGAGGCTGTGTTTTGTGTAATGCTAAATGCATGCTTGTTACCAAATGAACTACACTGGCTGTGAACATTCACATTTGTGCTTGATTCATGTTGGGGCATTTGAATGACAAGCATTGGTTTAGATCTAGGGAGTCCTCAGTACTTAAATCTGTTTGCAGTTAATAATTCTTTACCAAACACACCATGAAAAATCACTTAGATGGGAAACAGCAAGAAAACACTTTAGAACTTGCTACATAATATTCCTGCCTAAGTTGCTGAAGTGGTTTAACAAAAAATCAGTACACCCCTTGCTTTGCTATTGACCACATTCCAGGATATAGGAAAAGTTAATTTAGGTATTTGAGAGAGCAGAGAAATATAGCATCTTATACCATGCTCACTAGTGGGTTTTTGTTGCTGCTTTTGTGTCACCAGTATGCCTGACAAAAATCATACCTGCATCACAGAATCAGTGATTCAGCAGAGGAAAAAGATTTAGTCTGGATTAATTACTTCTACCTTAGAGCATTTCACTGAGAGACTAACCTGAGAAACACTGGTGCCTGAAAATTCCTGCTCTCCACATGGATAAGGGGACCAATGCCCCAGTGCCCCTACAGACACTATACAAAGACACCTACAGCCATGTTGCTTCACGCCAGTGCAGGACCCAGCTCAAATATCCTATATTCTACAGAATATGGTCTACACTACCATACATTTGTTGCAGATGTGTAGATACCAAGGCAAGCATTTCTCCTTAATATTCTCAGTTTCCAACTAGTTTCAGCTCAGGCAGCTTCTTGAGCCTCATGTACCTCATCCACCTATTTAACACACAGTGAATCTTTCATTCGGAGGTTTCCATTTTCCCCTTGAACTTATACAAACTTAAAAAACCCTCAATACACTTCAGCAAGAGGTTCCACGGGTCAACCAACTGGCATGAAGAACAAACTCCTTGTGCTAGGTGTAAACCTGGCTCATAATTCCTTCTTCCAGAAGAGGTGGAGAGACAACCTCCATTTACATTTTCTGTACCATTTTGGAAACCCCTGAGTTAAATGCTTAGACAGAATCCAGGCCTATGTCCACAATGGGCAGATGACAGCCTAATGGGCTTAAACTATAGCAACAGATACAGAGGAAGTACATCCTAATAGGAAGGACAGGCCTTAGAAAGGATGACCTACACAAGTATTCATTCTACCACTTCATTATTCTTATGAGAATAAGCAGAGCTGCCAGGAAGGCCGTAACAGCAGCTTACCGTAAGTCCCTTTCATTCTGAGAAGAAGCATACCATCATTGTGCACCATCACTTTTTTTTGGTAAAGCAGTTGCCTTATCAGAGATATTTTGCCTCTGAAAGGCCCTGGGTTTCTGTCACTTTAGATCCCACTGGGTACAAATTAAGTTGCCGCTGAATTTGGCAGTTTATTGCCGAATTACCAGTTATTGCCCATATCGGCAGTTTATTGCTGACATGAAGAGATCAGTTCCAGGGGCTCCTCATCAGTTCTCAACTCAGAGATATGAGTATCCTTCTCTAAATAAGCAACATATTATAAATCACAGCTGCTTTTTTCAAGAGGGAAATAATTTGGGGGAGGTGGATACTACTGTCAACATAGAACTGAGCATCCAACTTGCTCTTGGGCAAAGCTCTGCCCCATTCCCATACACTGCAGCAGGAACTAGGAGTTGTATACTGTCAATCAGAGGTTATGTGGCTTCTGCAAAAGGCCAGTGAGCCACCGGCTTCAGAACTTTACTTTCCTAAACGCAAGCACTGCCCAGGTTAGGCAAGCAGCACTGAGGAATGAGTAAGGATGGTTGGGACCTCTTTTGAGTCCTGTGCTTACCATAAAGAGCTACCAGAAAAAATGTGCTGAAGGGAGGTTAACTGAGGTCACACAAGCAATTTCAGTTCTATCTTCAGATTGCTTGACTTTGCAACCTTCACGTTCTTTTCAATTCTGAAGTGTATGTACATAAAGAAGCATACGGGCAAATCACAGGCTATGTTTTCTCCCTTAGGGTTGATTCTGTAGTACCTCAACATGGTTGGAATACAAGCTACAATCTTTGATGAAGGCTCCATTTAAAAAGAAACAGAAAACGAGTAAAGCAAGCAGTTTGTATCTGAGGTTTCAGCAGTCACATATGGCACATATTTCAGAATTTCTGCTGCAAAGTTGCTTAGAACTAAGTACTCTGCCATGTGCTACTGTGACACAGATTTATAAAGGTTCACTTTCCTGTGTATATACAACATGACACTCTTTTAGAAGAAGCATGCCATAGGACAAGGGCTACAGCCTGATTTGTTAAAGTACCACTGATTTCTATAATTCTCCAGGCCAAAGAAAGCAGAAAAAGTCTCTGGTTTGGTCCCATCTTCAGCACATAAGCAGTGGAAATTAATTTCTTTTTATCTGGAAAGTGTGTGACATGTGACAGAAGTTAGGAAGCACTGCAGAACATTGGCAAAGTGGTAGGTAGGATGGGCCACTAAAAATGTCTTAGTTCCATGCTATAAGAATATGAAAGGTCACACTTTCAGTGAGGTAATTTTGAAGCACATTTCCATATCCAACAGCAGGCAGTGAGTTACATTTAATTTCCTATCACAAACTAAGTATTTGCAAAATGTTCAAAACAAGGTAATAGGTGTTTAAACCAGTTGTAGTAATTTCAGCTGGAATAGTATTAATTTTCTTAGAGTAGCTTGTATGGGGCAATATTTTGGATTTGTGATTAAAACAGTGCTGGTAACACACTCATGTTTCGCTTCTTGCGGAGCAGTGATTAACCAGTGTCAAGGCCTTTTCTGCTCTCACACTGCTGCCAGCTAGTAGGCTGGGGGTGCACAAGACGTTGGGAGGGAACACAGCGCAGATAGCTGACTCAAACTGACTAAAGGGGTATTTCCAACCCTATGAAAACATACTCAGCAATAAAAACTAGGTGGGGAGGAGTTTTACCAGGGATGCCGTTGCCCGGACATCAATTTGCTGGCAGTGAGCCCTTGAGTTTTTCTGCATTATGTGTTTTACTTGTGGGCTGTTTGTAGGTTTTCTTGGGGTTTGTGGGGGTTTTGTTGTTGGCTTTGGTTTGTTTGTTTGCTGTTTGTTTTTGGTTGTTTGGTTGGTTTGTGGATTTTTTTGGGGGGAATCCTTTGTTTCTTTCTTTTAGTTATTAAACTGCCTTTAGCTCAACCCATGAGTTTTCTCACCTTTTACCCTTCCAATTCCCCTCCATATCCAACTGTGGGGGGGTGTGAGTGAGCAACTGTAAGGGGCTCAGCTGCTTGTGGATTTAAATTTAATTCAATTAAAAATATAGGAATACTCCACTGGTTTTAAATACATTCATAAGTAATACAATTTATCCCAGTAAATGTATTTTGCACTTAAGAGGAATCCTGTACTGCTTTCAGAATGCCAGTTATTGGCAGTTAGTGGCTTGATGACTTTCCAGTCAATGCATCTGAAATTTAGGAGACATTGGTGGTGTACATTTAATCAGGAAGGCAGAGAAGTAAAACAACTTTTCCCAGTTTACAGCTTCCACCCAGCCTTGCAATTTGAAATAAACTCATTAAGTTGGGCATAGAAAGAATAAAAAACTAAACAAAGACATGTTCTGGAACCTGTAGAAAAAGCTAAGGACATCAAAAGCTGGTTTATCATGTTTCCAGCTGCTTTGTGAGTGACTTCTGTGCAGTCAAGGCTAAACTTGTCTTAAACTTCAGCAGTCACCATGCATAATTTGATTAATATTTGCATTTTATTTAAAAAAATTTAAAATGTGATGGCTTATTTCTAAAAACCTGAGACATACAGTTTGAGGTATTGATTACAAAAATCTTCCTACCCTGCTTCTTATAGCAGTGTTAAAAAGTTTTTTCAAGTGTATTCTGAAAAATGGTTTCATTCTGCTACTAGGCAACAAATCTCTCTCACCACTTTTCAGTTAGGAGGTAAAAAAAAAAAAATTACATCTGCTGAAAAAATAATTCTAATATTTCTCCTTGGTGAAAATTTGCAAATATTTCTAACATGATAGGCTACCAAAGGGTGCATCTTTTCAACACAGGAAGCAGGGACCACCAACCACATACCTAGATACTACCACATTAACAGTATGAGAAAGTTATGAACGAGGTGTTCTGGGAAGCAGGATGTCTTTGACATCTTGCACCAGCACTTCTATAGGGGGACAGTGTTGCAAGCCACAGAAGTGGCAGAACCAGGTAACAGACAAAGAGTGTCTGTTTTCTAGCATCTGGGAAAGCTGTAACATTGCTTGGTAAACAACACAAAATCTACAGAAATAAGTTCCAGGCAAAGAGTCTCACATGTGCAGTAACGTGCGGGGAAGCTCATAGGCCTTCTGGAGAAGGAAGGGGTGATGCTGTCTGGCACATCATACTTAGCAGGGGGTAAGCGTTAGGAAGAGGCAGTCAGGATTATTCTGCTTGGAGTGATATTATCTATCTGTATAAAAGAGATACTGAAAACTGAGAGAAAGATACCTTTTAGTGAGTCTTTTCCATTTTACTAAGAATGTAATTGTACAGAAGATTTCAAGTGGCTAACACAGAGCAAGACTTCAAGAAAACAAATGGGCCACATACTTTCAATAGAGAGGTGCCACTAACACAGGCATATACACAGGATGCTGTGCATTTCTGTGATGTGACTTTCTGCCGTGAAGATTCCCAGTCAAATCTGCACTTGGCCAGAGCAGAGAGTATTATTGTTTTCTTCCTGGTAAGCTGTGGCAACTCCTGAATGACTGCATTAATTTGATTGAATCCAGATCAATGGTGTCTCTAAATAAGATTAAATTACATGTTCCTTCTGTCTGTGTGTTACAGGAGATTACTCTTAGCAGAATCTCAAAGGAAGCAATTACCTGACCACTGACGTAATGAATCCTAATTATTTTGTTTGTACAAACAATAAAGCCAGAACCATTTGTTTAGCAAGGAAGTGTAATTACTCTGAGCACTCAAGAAAATAAATCAAACAGTGCTACCTAGACCTGTGAATAACAAGCCTTTGACTTCCTATTTATGCTAAGAATGCTTATGGAATATTTTCGGGTAGGAAGGAGCCAACCTTTGAAAGTAACATTTATCATAGTTATTATTGAGCATTTGCTTGATTATGTCTTCGGGTGTGCTGGGTGCCCTGCAGAAATATCCATCTACATTGCCCTGTCACTGGCACCTGCTAAAAATTCACTGCAGCCAGTGCAATTTCCTGCAACTGCTTTTTGTTAATCAACAACAAGTCGCTCACATCGCAATCATTAGCCCATACTGTTCCTAAGGGCACCAGTGGCTGGGGGCACGTCCTCTAGAATGATCAGAAAAAAACCCACATTGAAATACATTAGAGCAGGCTTTATTCTGCTCAACATTTGGCCAGACAGGCTAGAAATGGAATAAAACCAGAAGGGAATGGAATGAGACTGACCACAGCTGGGTCTTCCCCTTCTCCAGGTTTATCTGCTGCTGCTGCAAAATACTTGCAGCTCAAATGGGAGAGACAAGCAGAGTCAATGGGGACACTGTGTTGCAGAAAGGAGAGATCAGACCAAAAATAGCTGAAATTCTACCACCTCTGCTGATATTACGTGACCCAAAAGCATAAGGGAGCTGACAAATCAGAGATAACCTGATCCCATTGCATGCAGACTCACTAGATGTTGCAAGTACAGTGATGCAGCCCTAACCATGTGTACTTTCTGCAGATACTAACTCCTGCAACCAGCTGGACATTCAGGGTAATTAATTTCCTTCACCACAATTTTGAAACGATGTTCAAAATATATATTAATATTTTTCCTAATCTTTCCTTAATTTCTAGCCACACTTCATGTGTTAAATCAGAATTTAAAATAAATTGTAAAGCCAGGAACTCTGCAGTTGGTTTGCTTCTCCTCTCAGCCTGAACAGTGATGCACCCAAAACAGATCAACATTATTTTCTGTTTGTTTTAAGTTGGTGCTCAAGAATCTTAGAGTAACACAGGCTCCTTTTCATATAGAAGCCTCAGCCTAAATGAAAAAAGAGACACCTCTGCTTACAGTTCTTGGATTCACATTGTAGCGACACTGTTTCAATACAAAATGAATGCTTTGAAGTCAGCAAAATCACACTGAACTGAGCAAGGTGTAAGTATCTGCCACTTTTGTACTGGCCAGAGGGAAACTGCAAATCACTTGATGGTTCAATGGGAGCCATTTCCTTCATGCTTATAAGGTACTTCAGTTCTTCATTTCTTCCTACCCCAAGCTGTTTCTCTTTGTTTGTGTTCAGTAGCTATTAAAAACTCATAGAATGTTTTCTTTATTTGTACTCTTGCCAGCAAATGTTTGCTGCCTGTCACTATGTTATTCCAGTATCCTTGAAAACGAACAGAGGACTTTAGTCTCCTTGAGAGAAATTAAGGAGGAATAAATATCACCTACCTCAAAGTAGGTGGTACAGATTAATTAAAATAATATATCTAATTGTGCAGTGGAGATGTGCTTAGGCTTAAAGATTTTTGTTTTGTTTTCCTCTATAAACAATCTCACCCAAAACCAGAGAATTCCTTGGTGGGTCTTCTGGAATATCCCTTTAGATCTTGAGGGAAAAGCAGCACTAGCAAACATTTGGCTGCCTCTACACTTACTATTAAAATGTCATATTGTTCTTCCAGCCTGAAAAATTCTGGTGACCTTACTGGATGACCAACAGTACTGAACAATTAATCCTAAGCCAGACAGACAAGAACAGAAACTCTTTAGGTGTTTTTGGGAAGGCTGAACTGCAGCCAAAACTATTAAGGGAATGTGTGAAAACTACCTTAAATTGGTTGGTATTTCACTGGAAAAAAGTATTGGAGATGCTACTCCACACTTGAGTACCAGAGGAATACCTCATCTGAATGAGGAAAGCTTAATCTCTGGCCATACTACAAGAGCACTGTATTGCACCCTTCAAATGTTGGTCTCTTCTGAAGACATGGTGCAACAGGAGAAATCAACGTTTTGATTTAGCTTAAGATTATCATGTTATTATATTCCAGCAGCACATCATTCGTGCAGTCTGCTTTGTGTTGGGCAAATAAAGCCTTACTCTATTCCTTCTGAAAACAAGGGAAAATGAAATGACAGTTTAAAGTTGAAACAAACAGTGTCCATAAACAAAGCCAATTGTGACACAGAGAAAAGACTCAGTTCAGTGCTGCTCAGGTCACCAGGAAAACACGCTGACTTCATCAACATGGGATCAGAAATGCTGCTTGGGTTTAATAAGAAACTGGCCACATTTTGTTTTCTTAAAAGTCTCCTTATCTTCTCCTGTATGACTTCTGTTTCTTTATCATCACTTCCAAAGAAAATCCTTCACAGGAGGAATTCTGCTGCTTAGAATAAGGATTTAGTCTAATAGCATTAGACAAATCTCTCGACTTTCTCTGCTTTTCTGCATTAGAAAAAAAGATGGGCTGAATGATCCAAAGCAATTTTTTCACAAGTGTCTGAAGAATTAGAAGTGCCATCTTCAAAATTATGGTAGGTACTTGCCCCCTAAAACTTGAGAGAAATTTGGGCTCTACTTTGAAAAAGTTATTAAGTTCATACAGCAAGTAGATATATATAAAAAATTACTTCTTCTAGTCTTCCAGGTGATGGATACATACCTTCCAGAAATACAGTAAATATAGCTTGAGAGTAAAAACTCTGCAATATTTTTCCTTTTAAAATCTGGAGAAAATAAATGTGTGTGTTTGTTTGTTTGTGTGTGGTTTGGGTTTGTTGTTTTTTTTTTTGGTTTGGTCTGGGTTTCTTGTTGTTTTGTTGGGGTTTTTTTTGGTTTTTGTTGTTGTTGTTGTTGACGCGAGTCTCTTAATAATCAAATTAATATAAAAAAACTTCAAGAAAGTTCAATTTAAAATAATTATCTGCAAAATGTCTGATCAAATACTATTTTAGCCTAGTGACAGGAAACTGCCCTATCTCTGAATTTGTCTGGTCCTTCAAAAAATCCAGAACTTCGTTTCAAAGAGAAAAAAACAAAACACAACAAAGCAACAAACACTAAAATAAAAGATTAAAAATAAAATAGAAAAAACTTCAAGCATAAACTTAAGATCCCAGTGGAGCCTATAAATGGGTATTCACCTCACAGGGGATCTTTCTTTCAAATTCGTGATCAGCTGGATAGAGTGAACCAGCAGGAGATTTGATTTTTTTTTTTAAATGACTTTTTAAACACACATTAGGCAGAAAGCCGAAATATTTTCAGGTTTTTGACCGTTTGAATCAGATACGAGCTCTGTGAGCAATAGCTTGGGCTTTACTGACACCTACTGACTGTATTTGTGCTTACACAAGATTTTAGTAAAAGTAACTTGCTACAGTCAATGGCAAAAAAATTTTATAAATATTCTCTTTATTAACAGAGGTCACACTTACCTTTCAGGGACTTTAAATTATTTGTATTCTAATGAAGCTTTGGATTTGAAGACAAAGTTACCTAAAGCAGAAAATTTTCAGGTGCTTCATGTTTTAGGTGCTAAATTCAGATACCTGTCAAAGCACTTCCATACAGAAAGTACCTAATGCACACCTGTGAAGTCTAATCCTCTGATTAAAGTATCTTGAAGTTGAACACATAATTTAAGTAATAAATCTAGAAAAACATGATTTACTTGTGTTATGTGAATGAATTCTGGCATCCTTAATCAACTTGGTAAATTTAATTATTTGGTTCTTGCATTAAAAATCCTCCTCTTTATTTAGTTCAAAATCCTTAGCCCAGAAAGACAGTTTCACAATGGACTAGGTCCTTCTGTGCACTTACTTTGAGTCCATTCAGTCAGTGGCTGTGCTGATCACTTTTTCTCTCAGGAGACATGAACAGTATGAGACAATGAACAGTAAATATATTCTTACTTAAGGAATTGGTAAAAAAATAATCTCAATAGAGAATGTATGGAGAAAGTGCAAAACTAGAAATCCATGTGCCCAGAACTAGCTGTGTATGCAAAATATTCACAAACACAACACATCTTTGTCCCCAACTGTCTGTGTCTTTGACAGCAGCCAATTGTCACTCTGGTTTGAATCTTCCATTCTGAGAAGCATCTGGCACACCACTTACAGAGGGACAAAGCACACAACTCTTATTTTAATACAAGAATATTCATGCCTATAGTTATAAATATATGGCTAAGCTTGTTCTGTGTTTGATGGCACTTTCTACGGGAGGTTTTAATTAAGCAGACACACACATAGGTACTGTTGCACTATGACTAGCAATGTGAAGCAACCTAAGAGAGATGGCACAGAACCCCAGCTGTGAATTGAGTGCTGGAACTTACCGGTGAACTCATGGACTCTTTCAGTTTAGATTTGTAGAGCATCCATTGGTAACGCAGATCCTCCAGATCTTCAGAATGTCCAATTACAGCATGAAGATGAAGAAGGTCCTCAAAAATATGCTGACCATCAGGCACACGAGACTGCAGTTCCTGCAGGCAAATACAAGGCCAGCAGCAACTCAGAAGTGAAGAAGGCTCCACTTTTTCAATCTAGCATTTGAAAGAGCAGTAGTACTAAATCAAACTACTAGGTACTCTGGAACAGTGCTTTATTTTGGGAACATTTTTTGGCCTGAAATGATACAAAAGGATCTACTTATCTGCTGAACTGCTGTAGCCTTGGATACTTCTGTTTGTTTAATTTCTTACAGCATTGATTGCCATTGTGTCTGGCTATACTCAACAGAAAGACTAAGGTCAAATACTAGACACTGATTTTAGTCAGCTTCTTTTAATGAACACCTTTTCCGTACCACACTGGAGATGCCCAGTCTAACAGCTAGATGCCACACTGCTCCCTTCCTTTCTACCACTTCTGCTCTGGCACACCTTTCTTAGTAAAAGAGATTAAATATTTGTCCTAAATTTCTGAGCTTCATCTAATCTAGAATCTCCTAAATCAGAGAGTGTAGTGACTGACTTTTGGGTTTTTGGTTTTGGCTGGTGTTGTTTTTATGTTGTTTTTGTTTGTTTGTTTTATAAATTCTGCAAGAACTTGCACTTATTGCAGTATTTGCCTCTGATTCCATCCTCTGAAAACTAACCTCCAGTTTGCTCTGGCGTGCCTTAATTTCCTCGGTAGAAGATGAAGTCACAGCAAGAATTTTGGTCAGTTTGGTGTTTTCTCCTTGTAACCACTCTTCAAAGTTGCGTACGAGCTTCAAGTGGCTGCTTGCATTTTGCCCTTCTATCCTCTCCTAGGTTACAGAACAACAGGAACAAAAAAAGCCCTTACTGTTTTGTCAGATGTTTCCTCTGAAGGCTTGATTGCAATATCTTAACCTCCAGCTTTGTAACCCATAACATCAAATAAAGCCGATAAAACTGTGAAGCTGTTATGAAGGCAATACAGAGTTCTCTTCTCACCTGCTTATGCTTGGGATCTACATCTAAAAGATGGAAGCCAGGTCCAGACATCTGTCTGCTGTCCACAAATACCATTTTCTTCTTCTTATCAGCTACTGGTCTGTTTAACTGCCTCTGTTCGAGAAGACTTAAATCACAAAACCAGAGACATCAGTGCAGTGAAATATCTAATAATGAGACATCCACATTTTGAAAGGGCTTATGGGGGATACCTCTGATGAAATAGCACTACTATTTTTATACTATTATTACTATTAATAGCACTACTATTATCCAAGTTCTTTATAGTATCTTTTTAACAAATTAAGATCAAGACAGAAGTGTCTCAAAGCAGCACCAATCCTCTAGTTCTAACATTTCCAAGTGTTTTTTTTACTTTTATTCAGTGGAGTGAGGGACCCTAAAAAATACTACTTTTAACATCCTACTACATGGTGACAGCAGGCACTGCAAACCTTTCTCAATATAGAAATCCCATTTTTACGCCTATTTTGACACTATGTATGAATCACAGTATTAATTTTTAATACAGACTAGCAAATAGGAGCAGCATTTTCACATTGCACAGTGAAGGCAACATAAATTAAGTCTACATTTGCCAGCCAAGAGAGGATTCTAACTCTGTTTATTCTTTTACAGCTTTGCAAAAGGCACAAATCCCAGTGCAGACATAGTCTCCTTGGAGACACCTTCAGATCAGACAGCAAGGAGAGCAGGAAGGAGAGACAGAACAGCAGGAGTCACTCAGTCTATGCTCTGTCTCCTCTGACATAGACTGCCAGTACAAAGGTGAGACAGGTCCTAAGGAGACATTATCTATTCCAAGTGTGAGGTAAAGGCACCTTCATAGCCTAATGTGGTCCCTGAATTCTCTAAAATGGTTTTCTTGAAAGTATCAATTTCTAGTTTACAAATTTTTAAATAAAATCTCATCTTGCTCCTTGAATTGTAACATAGCTGTTCACTTTTACAGCACAGAGCATAAAGCATGAAACGTGCCTGGTCATAGAGCAGTAAAGAGCATCCTCTTGAAGGGACACAAGTAATATGTACATAAATACTTACCCTTTTGCCATCTCCTTCAGTGATCTCCATGACTTCTTCAGCTGATCCAGCTCTGCCTGGACATGGGCAATCTCCTCTGGGGAAGAATTCTCCATGACCAGCTGGCCATGAGCTTCCACAAGGTGCAGCTGGATCTCCTTATCTGGAAACTCAGCTAGCCATCTCTGAAACGTACAGCCCTTACAGTTACTTCTAGGTATCCTGGGTAAAGCAGAGGCTATGTCAGACTGAAGGCCATGTTCAGTCCAGGACTATGCTGGTTCTGTTGGCACTAGCTAGAACATACCTAGCGGGAAAAAAAATATACTGTGGATTCTTGCAAAGAGCCAACATAGGTCAAAGAACTGATGGCAAAATGCAAAGGGCACAAGCTGTCAATGCACCCCTTCTATAGTCTTCCCGTGAGATATCTTGGTTTCCTGCATGAAGGCAAAAGCTGCCAGCTGACCTGACCTGTCAGAGTGAAGAATCTAGCATGCAAAACACTGCTACACTGGGAGAAGCTAGCAGCTGTGGAACAGTTCAGTTCAACACAGTATAAGGTTAGCTAATAGGATAATACTGGTCAATGTACTGATGAGTAAGCACAGACAAAGGTAGGTACTGTCCAGAGAGATCACCCTGGCAGGCAGAGCTATTGTTAAAAACCACCTATCCTTTGATAATACTTTATTCAGTTCCACAGTTCTTAGTCATTTCTCACTGTTCTTGTCTTTTCCTAGTTCTACATCCCACAGCAGCTGACAAAGCAGGGAGGAAGCAGCAGCAACCAACAGTTATTCCAGAAGGAACAAACCATCACTCCTCTCCCCAGCTAGGAAACCCTCACTAGAAAAGAAAATCCCTGCCATTAATGTCCAAATTTTACAAAGTGAATAGGTAACATAATACACTAAGATGCTTTTCTCACCTCAAGGTCTGCCACCCTGCCCTTGGTGTTCTGCTGTCCATCAGCACCCTGGTAGGAGTCAATCTTCTCTGCAGTTGCTGTGATCCACTGCTGGAGGTCAGATAGTTTGTCATTATATGCCCAATGCTTCTGAACATGCTCTTCACTTTGCTGTATCATCACCTACAAATGACAAAAATATGTCAGCAAAGAAATACAGAAAAAAACGTGGTTTAATTAATGGATCTAACACTGTAACTACTGGAACAGAATCTCACGGGCAAAAGGAAAAAAAAACACAACAGCTCTTAATGAGATACAAAAAACTTTGTCCTTCAGCATCAGACACAATCACAAGCTTCTGCAGGCCTGAATTCAACCACAGGGGGGGGCTTTAACCACTAGAACAGCTCCCTTCCTTTTCAGCTGAAACAATAAATACGTTTGGGTTTTTTATATCTCAGTCCAAATTAAATAAAACTTACACTCCCTGAATCAGAAATGACTACAGACTTTTGGTAAAAGTCCAGTTCAGCGACATTGAGAATGAATCTAGAATTTCACGGTGCATATTAGGGTAAGACTTTATCATATGTATTTTTATGGTGAACTGCAATTTTAGGAACTCTTCCTCTGAAACTGCTTTGGAAGGTCCTTTTATAGCTGTGTTTACAAGTTACAAAATGCCTCAGGTCAAAACAAATACTTACACAATTGCAACACTTTTCTCTTAATAACTTTTAGGTCACAAAGCTATAAAAAGCCAAAACAAAACACTATGCAGAAACCTGTGAAGAAGTTCAAGCACCTCCATGATAATATAACTATGGGGAACTTTGGTTAGAAATCTCAGACCCATTCCAGAAATAATTTATACAGATATAAAATCTGCAGGAATGGTATCCTCTCCCAGAGGGAAATCACATTACAAATACTTAGAGAATCCTTGGGGAGTTATCAAAGTCATAAGAACTCAGTTCTTTCTTCCCCTGAAATGAAAAAATCTGTCACTCAAAGTATATAAATTCATATGCTCAAAGATTATTTAAATTTTTTTAAATAGTGGCAACTGACAACTTTTCAGACAACTAAAAGTTCTTTCTTACATTACCTCTAATGATCTCTTCAGGGCCTGAGAATCAGATGAAAGTTGGTTCATTTCATGCCTGTGTGTGGTATTTGACTGAACAAGCTTCTCTACATCCTCCATTTGAATCCAAAGTTCTGCCAAGTCATCCTGGATCATCTGCAGAGGAAAATACAGATTCCATACAGGTAATGTGCTAGATATGGCATGGATGTCCACAAAACATATACTAAATATAGCTTCCTTTGACAGTGTGAGGACAAAAAAAAAAATAAAAATCAGGCACACTCGCTGTCATTAAGAAAATTAATTGTTTTGATATTTAGAAGTAAATGTTTCCAAAATAAATGGTTGTATGTCCTTACATGTTACCAGGTGTTTACAAAGGTAAGTTGCTGAGAAGCTGCCAGAGGAGACACAGTATAATCAGCTAAGTATTACAAAGAACTATAGTGGTAATACCCCTGTGGGTCATCCAAGGTGAAGTGGCATTGTAGAGCTGAATCACTGTAGCTCACTATGGGAAAAGGAAGAGTCTCATCCGCCCTCTCTCCTCCTACTCTTCTCTCCCCTCCCCAAGCTATGTAGTCCCACTGCATGCCTTGAGCAGGCTCTCCTACTGCATGTTGGACCTTTTGCTGAATCAGTGTGAAACATTAACGAAGTGGAAAACGATCATACTATTCTGTTGATTTTATTTATTTTTTTTAATCTTGGCCAGCTGAATCAGCCCGTGGAGTAAATCCAGCCCATGTCAAGGCTCTGCCAAGGCAAAGGGCAGGAAAGGAGGGATTCAGAAGGAGGCAGGACAATGGGAACTCCCTGCTTTTGAAGGGAGGTAGATTGGTTCAGATTATTTTACGCAGTTTCACTCCCAGTGGGAAAAAATCAGGATATATTCTGCTCAGCAATAAAAGTAGCCCAAGAAGGTGTGGCACCAATGGCTTCCAGTTGCTTGCCCCTTCCCTCAAGCTGAGTTTACTAGCTCTTCAGCTGCATTGTTTCAATTTAATTTATTCCATGCTATAAACCGGACTACATGAATTTATCCAATGCAAAATCCAATTGAGGGGACAATGTACTGAATTCCTAATGCTAAAAAATAAGAACAGACAGTACCACAATTAACTGAGGATATCATGGTCAAACATTACAGTAATGTACCTGGAGCCTCTGGAGTTGTGTCTTTTTACCCAAGAGGTCAGGCCGTGGTTCCTTCTCTAGTTCTAATTTGGCTTGGATGGTAGATAATTTCTTCTGCAAAGGTGCGAAACCAGCGTCAAAGTCTTTATGTTGTGATATCAGATTCTAGACGGAGAAAGAAGCAGAAAAAAAATCCAGCAGTCAACAAATATCCTGTGATATTATCTTTTTTCAATGTCTGTTTCACACTGAAAACACCGAAGCTACACTATGCAACAGACCACAAATTTATTTGCATATTTGATTGACCTTCAGAAAGGGATTGGACACAGCTGGTTAGTGCTAAATTTGTATCTATAAAGCTGGCTTAGTAAAAGATTGGTCATTGTCACAGGCAAAGACTGTATATGGGCTTCGAAGCTCACCTGGAGTTTGCTCTTGCATTGCAGCAGACTTTTGTGTAGAATTTCTCTCTCCTTTGAAGCTTCAGCTACTTCTTGCAGGAAAGACTTTGCTTTTTCTTCACCAAGGATATTGTTTAGCAAATCTTTCTTCAGCTGTAATGTCATTAACTTCTCTTTGAATTGGGAGCTTTCAACTAGAGCAGCCTAAAGGAGAAAAATTCTTCCAGTGAAATCACATCAAAATAATAAAAATCATATAACTGTATTATTCTCACACAAGTCACACAACCAAAGCAGTATGACAAAGTCAGGTAAAAACAGCATGCTGGGCTGACAAGGGGTATCAGAAGGTACCTGGACAGTGCCCAGTTAAAGGAAAAGTCTTCCTGATAATGTTAGAAGCACCAGGACTGCATCCATTTTATGAACAGAAATAGAGGAAAGCTGTAATATGGAAAGAGTTGTCTGTGCAGGGGAGAGGCCTAAACAACCAACAGAAAGGACAGCTTGATAAACTTCCTCCTTGTTCACAGACACATTTATTCTAGAGATCACAAGGATGACAAAATAACGACCACTTTCCTGGGCACATGCAGAAATCATGCATTTTAATCCCACAACTACATTACTACACAGTTCTTAACAGAGTCCACAGAGTTCCTGATCAGAGAGACTTGGGCTAAAGCTAGACAACATTATCATCATTGTTAAAGACATCTAACACTTGAATTCAACCTAGTCAGTTGACAACTCCAGTTAACTAAATGAAGAGCAGAAAATATGACCTTCTGCTACAGCTAGAGTTAAGTATTAACCTCTGTGCTGTGGGATTTCCTGCCATAATGGAATGGCACTGTCCAGCAGCTGCATGCAGGCAGTTGCTGCCACAGTCTGGGCAAACACAAACCAAGTCTTAGTTTCCAAATTTAGTAACAGGTTTGGTACCTCAACGTGAGCCAGCGCTGGCTCCGAAGCCTCCAGGAGCATCTGGACTGATGGCTTCCACTGCTCAAAATCTTGCAGGGGATTTTGGAAGAGTCTTGTCAGTTGGATTTCTGTATCACTGCTCATTTTAGATGTCTTGCCTCTAACACTGTGAGGATAAACCGACAGCCGAGAGAAGGATTACGAAGAAATCCAAGTCCAAACATTCTATTCATCAAGGCATGAATTAACACAACACTCGTGTGTTAACTGTTTCCAACAAAAGCCTCAGTGCTTCTTACTGTCTGAGCCTGGTGTTGCATACACACAGCTGCTCTGTCAGTCAGAGACATCCATCAAAACTTTATTTAGATGCCTTAAGACACATTTGTCTCTTGTGCAGCTGTGTATCAGGTATTACTTTGTCTTTCTAGGAGCTAGCAGTCTCCCTTTGCACATGACCTTTCTTGGCAGCTATCACCAGCAATATTCAACAACTTATATTATCAGAGAAGCCTCACTGACTGATGGGAGGAACAAGACAAGACTGTCTAGAATTTAACTGCTGTTCTACGTATTACTGAGTCTTTGTTCCTCTAAAAAAATACATTAAGAAGCCTTTGATCACCCTATGTTACCTATAAAAAGAAGAAAAGACATTTTATTCAGATATATATTTTAAAAATTTTGTTGAACCACTTGTATTTATATTAATATATGTAGGGGATTCTGGTAAAATCTCTGTATTTATAAATATGTATACACATACATGTACAACTATATATATGTGTGTGTACATATATATTGAAAAAAAAAGAAACCACCACAATTCATTAAATATCCAGGCTTCTCTTATAAAGGCTTATCCAAAATACAGCTGAGTAACAAGGCCCAGAAGTGACACACCCCAGGCAGTTGTCTCCTGTTTTTCTCAGCTTTCCTGAACTCCCAGGTTGCAGAATCCTATTTGATACAGCAGAATGCAGCCCAAACTGTACGTTCACATGGGAACACTTCCTTGCAAATTCACAAGACATGCAGGCAAAAGCAATGCCAATCAAAATTAATACTGCCTTTCTATAAAAACAGTAACAACTTTCTTACCTGTGTCACTGAGACATTACGGAGCTAAACAAAGGCAAGCTTACATTTGCAGAACTTTTGGCCTATAAGTTCTGACATTACATGTCCTTTGCCGTTTGCTCTGCTGCCCCTGCCAGGCTCAGCACGAAGCTGCCAGACTTTGCAAAGAAGGTTTGGAGAGAAGCTGGCAAAAGAGCAGCTGCCATTTTCTACTCAGAGGCAAGTCCCCCGTTTTCTCTCTCTCTCTTTCGACATCGTTTACTTGTTAGTTTTTAAACTGAAAACCTTTCCCTTAATGACCTATAACCCTTCCAGCAGGGCAGCATAGCGTGCACCAGACAGAGGAAAACAAGCTTGGATACAGTGAAAAACTGACCTTTCTTTTTCCTTAAAAAAAAAAAAAGAGAGCCTTTCTTCCAGTTTGCAAAATTTGCTGCAGCTTCTTTACTTCCTGATTCCAGACAGCCTGGAAACGGAAACACTGAAGTCTGGGGAGAGGCTAAACTTTCAGAGTTTCCAAACCAGGGCAAGTTGAAAACAGGAATCATGCATACATGCTGCCAGGAGAAAGGGAGTAAACTCTGCCAAATAATTGCTAAGGCTGGTGAGTCACCACAACAAACTCAACAAGGGAGGGTCATTAATTCTACTGAACCGTTTACTACTACAGCTCCTGTCCTGATTTTCTAGTTGCTGTCATGCAAGGCAAGCAAAATACATAAATTATTATTATAAAATGCTACAAACATCAAATTAGCTGCCAACAATCTAATTTTCTTCAATCCACACACAACAGTAATGATGCAAGAACATTGCTTGAAAATGGCCAGCAGCCTACAGCTCCTAGTAAATAGCTAAAATCATAGGCTTACTGAAATGTGGACACAGATGTAATTAGCAAAAGCCTTTTATTTTCTTTCTTGTCACCTACAATCAGATAGCATATCACTTTTTTTTTTCCTTAGGCTCTTGTCAATCTCTTCAGCGTCTGAGAGAAAATTCCCCCCACCCCCTCTGGAATCATCAGATTTCCCACTACCTTTGATACAGCTGTATTGTAGAGACAACACTCTCAGCATGTGGCTGCACATCTTGGGAAAATCGTAGCAGTTCCTTAAGCTGAGCCTTCAGCCTCTCAACTTTGGACTCTTCTGCAGCCAGAGCTGCTCTCGTTGCCTTAATCATAAAAACAATGAACAGATCACACCTTATATAGTGGGGACATGTCTGGCACATGAAATCAAATGAAAAGGCAGTTTCTTGGGTTAATCACAAGTCCCCTTTCTGCTGCCTTTTTTCCTGGTTGTAAGGACTATGGACTTCTAAGGAAGAAATTCTCAGGAAGAGTTTTGTTCCTGCAGCCTCTCTCTCCTTTCCTCACACTGCCCAGCATCTGTATCTGACCTGCAGGGCTCAGTTTGAACACTGTGAATCACAAATAGGTCCCAGTTTCAGTTCACAGATTGCAGTATATAACACGAGATGCATTTTTGGAGCAGTCTTAACTGCATCTCTTTCCTTGAACAGAGCTTTCTCAGAGACTCACATATACAGAATGTTAATTCTAGAGTGATGTAAATACAATTCTAGAGAATCCTAGGGAAACAAAACCAACAAAAACAACAACAAAATATGCAAATGTAGCTTGATTGAACCAGACTATATTTTGGGGATCTTTTTTGCATATACTATTTCCAGCTGGTCCTGCTGGGTCCTAGACATACAAGCAGTGATGAAAGGCATTTTGGGAAGAGATAATAAATGCAAAACCATCCCTCAAGCAGAAATGAGTGGTAAAAATTCTTATCTCCTGCATGTACGACAAATGTTTTCCACTCATTTTTGCAACAGATTGATTTTGGTGTAGATACTAAATTGCTATAAACTTGGGACTTCTTAGGAACAAAGATGTGTTTGATGGTAGATGGGTACCCACCCTACATGGATTAAGGATATAGTATAGAAATGGTCTCACTAGATATCAGAGAAATACATGTATTTGTATATATATATGTGTGTGTGTTTATATATACAGTAAAGCATTATTTGTTTCTGTTTCTTTTTAAATAGAACAAATTGTATTATTTGCTCTGCATTGTGCTTTTTCTGCATACGGTCCATTTGAACTCAAGACACAAACTCCCAGCACATCCTTCAATCTTGCTCCCTCTGTTCACAGTGAGGTACAGGTTGGAATAGTTGATTCCACTGTTGCTATTCAGATTTTCCCCAGTTTGCTCCATGCACACTCATATTCTCCTTATCAACTTTAACCAATGGGACAGGCACTTGGATGTGTCTGTGCATGTTTAATATAAGACTTTACTTGGTACTGCTGGTTTTAGGCATACAAAGGGTAACAACTTACATTGCATTTTCTCCACAGAGTTACAAATCCATCTTCAGTGTTTTCCTTTTCCCCAGAGTCCAGGTCATTTTCTAGTCTCTCTAGATCTTGTCTGAAGTCCTGGATATCCGCTTTTAATTGTCTGGCTTGGGACTTGTAGGCACTTTCTGACTGTTGGATCTTAAGCAGTCTCTCCTCCTCCTCACTACTCAGCAGTTTCAGCTTCTCCAAGGCTTTTCTTAGTTCTTCCAGTTCATCCTTCAGTCTGTGAGCTCCAAGTGGGGAGGTATTCTGAATCACCTCTGCACACTGATGTTCAAGGTACTTCCATTTCTTTCCACCGTTCCTAATTTTTTTTGCAATTTCCTGCAGAAAGATGTCAAATAAAGATTAGCTGCAGGAATGGTAAGTTAGGGAAAAAGCTGAAAGCAGTAGGAAAAAAAGACCTGATCGTACATACTTTGGTCTTCACTTCCTTTTTCAAAGTATGACCTTTTTCAAAAAGAAGCCAGGGTTGGTCATTTGACTACATTCTCAGTAACATTAACTGCCATGATTCTGAAAATATTGGCTTGTTTTTCCTAAGTGCTTGTCATCTAAGGTCCCTGACAAAGAAAACAGGAGCTACAGGCACTGAGAAATACTAAGTCAGATCTCTGAGAGATTGAAAGAGTTTAAGCAGTGTCATCAAAATATTGGATACTGTTCTCAAAACTGGTAGTCTTATCACCAGGCCTAAGCTCTCAAAACCTGTGAGCCTTCAGGCTCTATTTGGATCATATTTACCAAATACATCAATTTCAACAAGTTTTAAAGGCAAGATTCTCAAAGAATCACATAACTAGGAGATCAGGCTTTTAAAAAAATATAAAGCAGACTGGCCTGTGACTTCTGCTACAGTTGGGAGAACCAACTAAAACTAATAGTTTTAGAACCTGACACAACTGTTCTCCTCTAGTCTATGTTACAATTACTACCATATTTTTTAAAATGAAATTCTTTTCCCTTTTGTGGTTTGAGAAACATATACAGGCATGAAGAACACACACAACTCTAGCTCCTTGTTAGAATTATATTGTTTCAGGACCTTCAGTGTCTTTAACTTGTCCTGTGCTGAAGACTTGGTTGCTTCTCTGAGGCAGCAGTTTAATCTTTCTGTCACACCATTCAGCCACAATTGAAACTGGTTGACGTTAGTGCTATACAGCTCATGTTCCTTGGTTATCTTTTCAAGCAGGTTCACTCTGCGCTGTAACAAGAAACAACAGAAGCTGTGAGGACAGTGCTTATCTGGCTCTTTTTATTCACACTAACCCAGAATTTATAAACAAGAGTCCCTTTCCATAAGCTCCAATAGCAGTTGGCCTCCACAGGAACTCACAGTTCACCTCAAGAAACAGGACACAAAAAAGGCTTGTCCCCATGTGGGTCATGCTGCAGACACCAGCTGCATGGTTGGTCTTCACAGAGGCAAACTGTAAGTTCCTCCTAGGTTTTCTGGCTTCCCATTCCCAAAACTACTTATCCTCTCATTAGAAAGAGAAAAGAGACAGAAGATTCCTCCTGGTTTTGACTCTGGGATACAAACAATTATGTTCCTTACACTGGTTAAAAAAAAAGATGAGCACATAACAGATTGAATTTGCCCATCTGTCAAAATGAGACTATGAAAGACTGTGCTAGGGGCATGCGAATTTTTTTCGAAGTGTTCATTACTTCAATAGGCTGTACAGAAAGTGATCATCAACTTCAATGTTTCCCTAGAAATTATATAGCCCAGGAACTTTCATACTTACTCAATTAGAAGATCACAAACTATCATGTGGTGGTACTGCAAACCCTGGAAGCAAATTTAAGCCTATAGGATGCAGACTTCACTTGTGGAGTTACTGTGTTTGTATCCTATAACCAACAATCCCTTATGCTACAAGGGCCTGCACATTATGAGTTGTTTCCCACCAATCCAGTCTGGCACCCCTCACAAGGCAAAGTCACATTTGCTCTGACTACCCTTGTTTGCCATCTGAAGTTTAGACCTGCTGAGGGAAATTTACACAAATCACAAGGAAGCCCATTTTTGTTGTTTCACTATGCCATTATGTTGTTTCATACCCAACCTAAGTATTATTTCCTACAAAATCAGACTTTTTCTTTTCTTTCCCTTTATCAGTTGGCATAGAGAACAATTGAGGTACAATATAGTTACCTTAGAAAAAAAAATGGTTTCTTGTGGAATCCATTTAGTGCTTGCAGCACCTTTGGAAGGCCTTTCTGTCACAGACAATGGGCTGAGTTTCATTTTGTGTAATATGGGACACATCCTGTGTCTCTGAGCAGAGCTTGATTCCAGCTACCCTCCACAGAGAGCAGGGTGGTAACTGCAATGATGGGCAGTTTTGAAGTCCTCTCTGTGTTGCCCTTGTCTTTTGAGTCTCTGGGCATGTCAACCTGCTTGAGGTGGCAGTGTGCAATGGCCGGTCCTGTCAGCATTGCTTCAGGCCAGCAGAAGGGTGGCATGAGCATCAGTCAGCATGGGATCTCCCATGTGATGTAGGGTGATGGTCACTCTGAGACTTTGCACTTCACCTTTGGGATAGGTTATGCCCATGGTGCAGTACAAAGCTACCACTCTCCCAGTGGCATCACACCAGTTGCTGTTTTCCACACTGCCACAAAGAGGAGCTATTATTAAAAGGAAAAGTCTTAAACTAATACATATCGAGTTAAAAAGGAAAATGAAATGACCCATTCCTGGCCCGGTTACTCAACCAAAACAAAGAAGCACAACAGTTTGGATACTTCGGTTGGCCTAAGAGGTCAAGGAAGAGATGCCATGATCTGGACAGACTGCACTCGCTGTCAAACAAAAGGCTTACGAAAAGCTGGGTCAGCCCCGTGTGTGCGTGTGTGTGTGTGTGTGTGTGTGTGCGTGTGTTAGACCACGAGGTTAGGCAGGGAAGCTTTCTAACGACGGAAAACACGGTATCATTTGCATCTATTAGGTTAGCTGTTCAGAGAACAGGACGGTGCTAAACTCCATTCCCACATGCACTTGGTTAATGTGAGGAGACATTAAACAAGGACATAGCCCTGTAAAGAGAGAGAGCACCGACAGGAAAACAATGGGTTTGACCACAGAGGAAGAGCTGTGACTCCGCAGGATACACCCAGCCCTCAAGTACCCCTGGTACTCAAGGAGGGTGGATGGAGGTGTAGGAAAACCTCTCCCCTAAGCGCCCCTTATGGTCAGCAAAGGAATACAAAGCCTTCTCTGGAAGGCAATCTATAGCACAATTTCCCCTGCTTTAAATCCTTCTGTGGCATCTCAAGTGGAGTCCAGAAAGCTCCTGTAGTCCTTCCTGATGCTTTTAGTATTAGGCCTAGGGTACATATGGGAAAGCATTATAAATATCTAGGTTTCACTTAACAGAGAAATCATGGAGTGAAATTAGTTTTATGTGCACAGACATACTCTATACACTGCAAATATCATAACTTTTTTTAGCATCCTCAGTCATAATTTATGCTAAGACCCACGACCATCTATCTCTGCATATTGTCCATTTAGTAGGCAAGGGAAAACACATAGGAAATGGTTGCCACATCTAAAAATATCCCTGTCAATGTAATTAAAAGAAAATGACATGCTTTTAAAATTTGGGAATAAGGACACGTTAGCACCATGAAAGAAAAGAAACAACTCCACCGTTTGCTCATACCAGGAAAACAATGTCACAGGCAAACCATTTAAGAAACGCTGTCCATGAGCTTGCCTTCTGATAGAGCTGGACAACTGCACAGGATCTAAAAATGCTTTTCAAACACAAGTGTAATCTACAAACACCAGTGAGCCTCCTCTGGCAGGCAGCTCAGGCATTCAGCTGGCATCTGCAAGTCACATTTAGCCTGGCCTCTTATCATGCGAGAGGCTGGAGCAATCCCCTTACAACTCCTGCGTCTCTTTCATTCATTCCGCCTTCCCATTGGAAGAGGTGGCAGGGTTTCCCTAACTAGTGTTATACTTTTCAATAAGATTCCCAAGATGTCTGCAACCTTGGCATTAGCTAATAAGCTCTGTATTTATTTCAGTTACTAAATCCAAGACTTCCCAACACCCTTCTTTTTTTTTCCATAGCTCCTAGAAGTGCTGGATTTTCTCTCTCTATCCTTCTATGAAATGTGGTATTTGTGACCAATGCCAAGGAAAAGTTTTTTCTAGCAGCTCAGTTGGCTGGAGACATAAAGAAATCTTTTATCTAAATACTATGAGCAACTTCCTGATCTCATTTACACCAGTACATATCCAAGACAGAGAAATTACATTATGTAAAACCAGTCTCAGAGGAGTCATGTTCTGGCTTTGGGTATTCAGATGACATGTTTGAAAAAACTGCTTTATTAAAATAGTTAACGACTGTCTCCTGCTTCGAAACCAAAGAGGAATCTTGGTTAGAAATGGGTGAATGAGAATCTTAAATTGCAATCTAGATAGGCAACACCTGAATTCCCAGAAACCTTCTTATTAATTAATCCAGTTTCATTGTAATGAAGAGATCTACCTTTAAAAACAAACAATCAATGCTTAGGCATTTTTACAAGTCTTTTTACAGACTTCACAGCCTCTCTGCAGCAGCTGCAGTTACAGAATTGCCAAATATGCTCTGACTTATTAGCAGCAGTGGCATCTTTATGGCTAAAAATATCTGAATTTCATGCTCATGAAAGGTACTAGTTTGAAGATTTTTTTAGAGTTTTGGCATGGGTTTTTTTTAAACAGAAAAAGTATCTGTAGAGCAAGCAGAGCAATGGCATGAGCATCCCAATGTTACTGTACTTCCAATGTGATCTGAAGCTAACTTTGTATGACAGCATGCGGGGCGGGGAGGGGGGAACATACATCACTGTCAGGATCCTGTTCTGGGCTGGAGTTTAGGTGTGGGAACAAATAGAAGATAATGTTATGACAGAGGCAGATAGTGGAGCAAATATAATGAAAATTATTTGTATTTGCACCAGGTAATTCCAGCCTATGGAATTCTGGAAGCCTCTGTGAGACAAAGACTAAATTTTAATCTCTATATGCTTGGGATAGATGTGTCTATATATATTGCAAATATCCCTTTGAGCATTTCTGTTGATACAGGCTGGTAAGAAACTGATTTCTGCTGCATATCTGCAGATGTCTGCCCCCCAGCCACACCACATGGTCCAATCCTGTCTTCACCTGAGTTTTAGAAGTGAAAAGTATGAGCTTCATCTGAAATCTATACCCAGTAATAGGGTAAAGGAAATTACTGGCAGTGAAAGATGAACTCAGATGTCTTATACCAGCCTATCTAACAACTGTTCAAGCTAGAAGATTAGCATCAGGCAAGAATTAATATCTGTGGCTACTTGAGCTCTGTGTTGGGCCACAGCTGGCTCTCACCTCCATGTTTCCTAGTTTTGCAGGCAGGGATTGTATCTCTGAAACTGGACTAATGCTACTTCCTTCAACAATGGTGCATGCATGTAATATTCCCTGGCTCTGGGAATGTGTGCTTTGCATCTGGTTATACAAGTATCTCTAATATGCTGAAAAATGAGGAACAATTCAAACTTTATACAAAGATGACATAAACCAATATTCACCAGGTCACAGCAAGCAGCTTGCAGTTACTTTACAACATACTATCAAGCACAGTGTAATAATGTCTCAATTAACAGCTTTACCTTGGGACACAATGACTGTTTCAAATAGTCCACTGACTGAAAGAACAAGGGTCCTCAGCTCTGTTTCCTCTTTGCAGTCCTACCAGCTAAGCCTCATCACTCAAGAAGCAGATAGCAAACAATACTGTATGTTGGTGAAATCTGAACACCTCCCACTCTTTATAGGCATACCTGAGCTTCTTCTCTGATTCCTTCATATTCCAGCCTCATTTTCTCCTGAACTTCATCATCAACACTGGGGTCACCTATTCTGCTGAACAAGGAAGCAGCTTCCTCTAGCAGCCTTTCCAGCAGGACTGACTGATGTAAGACATCATTCAGCAAAACCTGAGCATGGCTTAGCTGCCACTGCTTCTCCTTTAAGCCAAGCTGTAACTCGATGTCAGGCTCCAAGGTCACCTTCATGTTGTGAATCCATGCATAGAACTCATCTTGGGCTTTCAGGTACTCACTCCAGTGCAGCCAGACCCACTCAAGACGGCTGTTGGGGAGAGCAAGAGGGATGGGTTAGATGAAATTATGATGGGAGCAGTTGAGACTGGCAAGCTCAAAAGGCCTTCAAAGCAAAGAGCAAAGTTCTCAGCAATTTTAAGCTGCTCTGACTTGAGAGGGCCCAGATTCACTTTCCATGTCCTCCCTGCTCTTGCAAGGATATATCCCATACAAGGTCCCTATGCCTGGCCAAATTCATTGTTCAAGACCATGATGTGGGCTGGCTGTGAAGACAGAGAGCACTAAGGTCCCATGGACCCTCTCTCCTCACACAGTCCTCCACATGCTCATGAGACTGGGATTAGCAGTGTAGATTGCCATCTACAATCCATGCAGCAAAGAAAGGCAAGAAGCACTTTATAAAAGCACTGGATGAGACAACTGCCTCAACACACCAAATAGCAGTTCTTGTCCTGGGTATGTTTGTCTTACCTGTGACAATGAGTAATGTATATGGCTGTCTCTTCCCACAAGGCTTTAATGTCTTTCAGTTTAGATAGTACCTCGTGCTTCTTATCCTCACCAATGTTGCGAAGAGCTGCATCTGCCTTCACATGAATCAAGTCAATTTTCAAGCTGCCTTCTGGTTCCAATGCACGTATTTTCTATGAGAAAAACAAATGAGACTGAAAGCATGAAAAGAAGGCAATTCTAACTGTGCCATTTAAACTTTAGTTTTGCTGAGGAATCACAAAGTCCTTGCTGTAAAGCCTCCCCTGAACAGAAAAATATGAACTTCTCTTCACATTTGTTTGTTATTAAACTTCTTAAAGACTGAATTGAAAACCATGTAGTAATTGAAAAACATTTTAAGTTAGCAACAAAACCCAGATCATCTTCTATCAAGTATCTGCAGCTGTGTTTCAATTGCAGTTATAAAGTTCCAGCACTGTGTTGCCACACATCAGTTGCTCTCCCCAGCCTGCCAAAGAGTGTAGAGGCATCTTCACAGGCTACACTGCAACGTCTCAATTTTAAGATCTCCTATAAGAAACTATGAAACATATTTAAAAGACTTCCTATTGCAAATAAAAGTTGGCTCAGAACACAAGCCAAGAGAGATTAACTAGTGGAATTTTCTGCCTGCTACCAACTTTTGCTTTGACTCTAAATTGCTAAGCTATGCATTAGTAAAAATGTGTATCTTACACAAACTGGAAAGCCAGGGACTGAAAGTTTAACCATCTAATTTTAAGTAGTTTCTCTTCCTCTACCCAGAGATGGAAAATCAGCACAATTTCTGTGAAATGTGACAGATTAATTATGTCCTGATTTGGCTGTCTGCTTTCAGCATCACTTTATCCAAATTTCTGACACCATCAGATTAGCTTTACTTACTGTTCTTCCACAAACTCCTAGTAAACTGCAGGCTCTCAAGTTTGAAGGAAAAGCCTTTGAAAACACTAAGAAGTTCAAAATCAGCAACTGCTTGTGAAAAGATTAAGCCCATGGGGTTTGTTAAAAAAATCACGTCAGTTATTGCAAAGGTGAGACTAAATCACAGGCCCTTGGAATTCCAGTGTTGCACTCTGGGAAAAGACTGTTCTTTTGGCAAGTACACAGCACATCTACAGGTGACGTACAAACAGGTGTTTGGGTGCATTATCTACTATGAAAAGTATGATTAAAAGAATCCAGGAAAGCAGGGCAAAGGGTAGAGCAGGAAAAGAAAAGCAAAGCCATAGCTATCAGACAAGGGGGAAATGTTAAGAGTAAAGCTATATTCTAAGTCTGACATTTTTCCAGCAAACGAGACAAAAAACAGTCAGAGAGAAAGCAGTGACAGGCATTTTTCTTTTTCAAATCTTTTTTTTTTTAATTATTACCATCCTTGGCTGGAGTTTTCATTAACAAATTAACAAAAAATAAACCACAGGAAGGAAGCCAAAAAAAAAAAAAAAAAAAGCAAGACAGATGCAAAAAAGGAACTGAAAAATTATCTTGGATTTGAAAACAGCCAATAGGTGAGGCGGTGAGCACATCATGAGCTGGACAGGGAAGCCGGGCCCAGAAAGGAGGGAGGATGAGGGAGCAGGAGGTGGATAAGGTACACACAGGAAGAGAGAACAGACACTTGTTATTCCTTAGGACTATTAATTTTCAACATCTGGATTGAAAAAAATCTTCTAGCATGATTTTTTGCATGTTATAGACCTCCTCCAAAGCCCACAGAAGACAACAGGCTTCTGCTCAGGACATATTAAGTCACCACAACACCTTAAACATTTTGTCTTGTTACCTCTGCCAGGAATGAACCCCTTTGTCAAACTACCACTCTCCCTACTCAGGTTCCTGTGTTTCTAGTATGTTTTTGAGACTGTACATATCATAGTTGTCCAGACAAAAACAAAAGATGAAAATAATTTAAGGGCAGAAATAAATCCAAGAGGAAATACTTCAGATTTTCACAACTGACATCCAAGTCTAACCATCATCCATCACCCTGTGAACAGTCTCTGTGTTATGCCAGAGGAAAGATCCGGCCTGTAATGAGCCACAGTTAAGGAAAAAGGCTGAAGACATTACTGTACCATCATGTAAACCACCTCCATGTAAGCCTGCAATGTCTTTTGGAGTTATTAAACTTCAGAAGAGGCAGTTGAAATAAGAGTAAACAAACGAAAAGAAAGACTTCTGGGTAAACAGTGATGGGAAAGATTTGGCCATTTAATGTAAAGAACAGACTAATTGGAATTCAAGGTAATCCAAGTATTAAAATAGTTTCAATGTTAATCATAGAAATACCACCACTCCCTCTAATCATGGATGGTAGAAATGGGACAAACAGGAGTGTTTCAATCTCTGAGATTACAAGAACAAGATAACATCTAATGAAATTGAAGTTACTGAACACAAAATCACAGTAAGAGAGCAGGCACAATCTGCAGTGGGATCTCTGTGAAGAGAGTTATATAAGAGATTAAGTAAAACCAGAAAAAAATGAAAACATTTACCTTTTCATTAGACAGATTATAAGGGTGACCTGTAAACCCTCTTATCATTAGGGTTTATGGAAAAGGACAAAGGGATTACTCTATAACAACCCATTACTAGGACACTGCAGTCCTCCTCTATCAGCGCCCGAGTCCTGGAGGAGGTGGAATACTTAACATGGTCTGATTCTCTCATCCTATATGCTGGACTTCTGTAAATCACTGTCTGGTAACTGCATTCAGCAACTCAGATGTTTCAGGTTGGAGCATGCTCATAGGAGAGTGTAAACATTTTAACCTGCCAAACCTGCTGCTAGTCTTCCAAATCAATCTGAAAAGCTTGGAAGCCTGTGATACCAAATTGCCATTTTCTTTTTCTACAACATCTGTAAACATATTGCAGATGTAAAAATTAGAAAGAATACTGATGTAAACTCATCCACTCAGGATCAGCATTCCAGCAAGCAGGGGCAGCTGGAATTTCTTAATGGAAAACTCCAGAGCTCACAGCAATGACTGCTGTAACAATGGCAGGAGTGACAGCCACCTCTGAACCCCTGGATCACTTTTCCCTTACCTCAGACTCTCTCAGTCTGGCTTCTAGGGCAGATCGAGGTCCCTTGGTGTTGTCATTGATCTTCAGTCTCTCTTGGATGGCCTTCATCCAAGCTTCTGCAATCTCCACACTACTGTCAAATTCATCCTGTAGCTGCTGAGTCATTGCATTAGAAGAAGCTGAAAGGATAAGAAACAGGGAAGTTAGTAGGTTTTGGTTAATACCTAAACAGGAATGCATTCAAGGCGATCTAAAGGGACAAGGGAGAAAAGCTAACGATCTTGTGGCTTTCCTTTTTATTGATAATACCAAAAAATGTAGCAGTATCGTGATCCAGCCCAGCACAGAGAACACATTCATGCTGCAGCTTTTCCAAATGAAAATACACCAGGAAGCAAAATGAAGGTGGAGAACTGTGGGAAGTTCCATTACAGTAAACAAATTTAATTCAAAGCTTTCAAATGAGATTAATTTGGTGTTTGTGGTGTATTCCAGATTTGCTACACCAATCAAAAAGACTCCTCCTCCCAGAGCCTAGTTAGTACAAATTACTTTCAGGCTACAATGCTCTTCCAGGCTTACATACCAAGGATCTGACACCACACTAGCAAAGCACTTCAGCACATGCTTAACTTAGAGGTATATAAACCCTTTAAAGCTGATGAGATCGGTATCAGATGTTTAGGACCCCAGTGAACTTGTTCTGGTGAGACCATGGAAAAGTTACTGAATGCATGTGTAGTGAGTCTGGGATACACAGACAAGGGGAATTGGCCAGCAACTGCAAAGACAAACCACTCACAAGACATCACATAAGAATATCAACAATGATGGTTTTCTTCTCTTGACACCTCTTTTATTCCATACCAGATTGCAAGCTTTTAATTTTCCCTTCCCTCTGTCTTGTTGCCCCTTCCCAATCTGTGGGTGGGTAGTTAGTTGCTCTGTTGATCTACTCTTGTGTCTGCTCCATCGAGAGCATAAGCTCTCTGCTGTTCAGAGGGCCTCAGTTGTGCCTGCACAATAGAGGAGAGCCATCCTACACTCTCCCTTAGGCATTGCCCTACTAAACTTGACTAATAAGGATGAATCATAACAAAGCCCCCTGTATGTCAGCTTCACTGAACTGAACAGAAAGATAGCCATTGACATTAAATGGGTTTGGATCACATCCTACAACTAGTTCCAGCCAAGCAGTCAGTATCTCTTGTAAATGAAAATATTCTTCCTCTTTACTATTCATCACTGAAATATTTTTGCAGCACAAAGTTTGAGGCTTAATTACTGAACCCAAGTTTGTTGCTCAGAATTCAGCTCCACAGGAGACCTCTCAGATGATTCACATGGAAGAAAGTGCTTAGCAAGAGAGGCCAAGCACAGCTCTTGGCAAAGGTTGGAGCAAGCTGGTCTAATGGGCCCAAGTAGGGGGGTTGGAACTACATCTTCTTTGAGGTCTCTTCCAACCCAAACCATTCTATAATACTATGAAGCCAGACCAGTGGTGTTTTTAACTCTTGGAAGCTTTGTCTTTAAAAGAAAGAGATCTCTTTAAAGAAAGAGGCCACTGATAGAAGGCTTTCCAACCATCCTCAGCAAGGCTTTTGACACTGTCTCCATATGGCATCCTCACAACCAAACTGGAAAAGTGTGAATTGGACGATTGGGTAGTGAGATGGATTGGGAACTGGCTGAAGGAAAGAGCCCAGATAGTTGCGGTCAGTGTGGCTGAGTCCAGCTGGAGGCCTGTGACTAGTGGGATCCTCCAGGGGTTGGTACTGGGACCAGTCCATTTAAATATATTCATCAGTGACCTGAACAAAGGGATAGAGTGTACCATTACCAAGTTCAATGACGATACAAAACTAGGAGGGGTGGCTGACACACCAGAAGGCTATGCTGCCATCCAGTGTGACCTGGACAGGTTAGAGAGCTGGGAGGGAAAAACCTAATAAAGTTCAATAACAGCAGGTGTAGAGTACTCCATGTGGGGAAAAGCAACCCCATGCACTGGTACAGCTGTACTGCTGGAAAGCAGCTCTGGGGAAAAAGACCTGGGAGTCATGGTGAACAACAGGCTCACCATGAGCCAAAAATGTGGCCTGGCAGCCAGGAGGGCCAATGCCATTCTGGGGTGCATTAAGAAGAGTATGGCTAGCAGGTCAAAGAAGGTTATCCTAGCCCTGTACTCTGCCCTGGTGAGGCCTCACCTGGAGTACTGTGTGAAGTTCTGGGCTCCCCAGTTCAAGAAGGACAAGGAACTACTGGAGGGAGTCAAGCATAGGGCCACCAAGATGATTAGCAGACTGGAAAATCTGCCCTATAAAGAAAGGCTGAGAGAGCTGGGTCCGTTTAGCTTAGGGAAAAGGAGGCTCAGGGGGATCTCATCAATATTTATAAATATCTAAAAGATGAGTGTCAGGAGGATGGGGTCAGACTCTTCTCAATGGTGTACAATGACAGAACAAGGGGTAATGGTCACAAACTGGCACACAGGAAATTTAGCCTGAATATGAGAAAATACTTCTTTACTCTGAGGGTAACAGAGCCCTGGAACAAACTGCCCAGGGAGGTTGTGGAGTCTCCATCCCTGGAGACATTAAAAACCTGCCTCAACATGTTCCTGTGTAATCTGCTGTAGTGAAACCTGCTCTAGCAGGGGGGTTGGACTAGATGATCTCCATAGGTCCCTTCCAACTCCTAACATTCTGCAATTCTGTGATCCTACTGATGTTGCTGTTCATGAGGTAAAAGAATTCATGCAATATTAGATGTCCTCCCCTGTAGTTTCCAGTGCATTTTCTTCCACGTTAGACCAGAGGAAGCAAGACATTGGTGTTCACAACACTGATGTCAGGCAACGGAAACAGTCTAAATTGCTGTTTCCCAGCCTTCAGCGGGCTGTGTACTCAACATGCCCAAGAACAGAAGAAGAGTTGCAGACAAGCAGAGCTGCATTTGCATGGAAGAGGGAATTTCTCCCTGAGAGCTGTCAGATGGGGCAGAAGCCAAAGCTGTAACTCTCAGATCTAGAGGGTAGTTTTAAAAAGTGTGACGTCACCTTCAAAAGATTAAAGACTAGAACAGGATGTACTGGATTTAGTGAGGGTGGTGTCGCATGGGGCTGCTACTCCCTCTCTCAAATATAATAAATATGATGGGATATAAATTAAAGCTAACATCATTGACTTACATGACAAGATCCCTAAAGATTAAGCCAGCTAAAGGATGAATGTCATTCTCAGTGGATTCCTGGATATCTCTGTCATTTTCCAATTATGACTGCTCCAGAACTGACGTTTCTGGAATAATCTAACCCTCAGAAAAGAGCACCCATCTCTTCATAGCTTAATGATTAACTCATTTTCATGTTAATATTTCTCACTGTATCTAGAAGCTGTACAGGGACTGTCCCCTAAGCCTTTCCTTGTTAAGTGCATTTATTTCTAGGCAATAAATTTCTGAATATGCTAGTTGTGGTGACTCCAGATCTGCTATTGTGAAACCAAAACTCATGGTACAGTGCTGTATTGACTCTTGATGAGGAGTGGCATTCATTTCCTAGGAGAGGTTTCTATTCCTGGCAACATCCATATCATATTTAAAATTGGCTTCAGGGCTCCAGTCATGGAGTAGCCAATATAGAACATTACACTATCCTAGTCCTATTTCTTACAAAACGTAAAAAAGGCAATCAAACACGGTTAAGAAGTAGTGGAAAACCTACTGTCATCTAACATGAAGAAAACCCCACTCACACTCTGCCCTCATGCTGTTGTCCTCTGACCACAAGGATTTTTTTTGTACAAAACCCACAGACACTGAGAGCCCCCATCCCACACACAGGCATTCCATGTAAGCAGCCAATGCAGGAAGCCATGAAAAATGTTATTTCAATTTTAAGATCATCTGTTTGCAAGGGAAGAAAAACACTTTACTACTCCAACTGCCTGCATAACATTGACTGATTTTGACCAAGTAATTCCTACACTTGGCACCACAAAGATGATTAAATTTAGCATGGACTCTGACCCAGTGCCCAGGCAGATTTCGTGGTAGTTATGACCTGCAATATCTAGTGTGGATTTGTGCTGCCTCTTGAGATTGTCTGTGTCCTGTCCTCCCTCCTTTCTACAAACCAAACAGCCAGACCCTGGCTGAAGCATTCTGCTACAGCGTCACAGAGTCTTTTGTTCTGGAACTGCCTCACCCTTGTAGGCATTAAAGGCATGGGTTGATATTTGCAAGCACAAAGTGTGTTTTCTGACTTATTGCCTAATTGGGAGGAAGAACCAGAACCAGAACTGCTGACCATCTGGGATTCAGCAATATGTGTAATTTCTTTGCAAACGCTCCTAAAGCTGAGATAAATGATTACTGGATAAGTGTTAATGAATCAACAGTATTTACCCCATTTCTGTTGCATCATTGGAAATAAATGATTGAGCAATACTTCTGGATATCAAATACAGAGCTCTGATCACTTGAAGAAATAAAAAGGAGACATAGCAGCTCTTGGAACAGACCTGATCTGTTCAGCTGTGCAAAGCCAGCATTCACAGATCAACCTGCAACAGCAGCAGAACACTACGGTCACCTGTACTCTGGTGTGACAGCCCCTATCCCAGTCTGTAGGCTCAGTTGCTCGGACTCACAGTGGCAGGGAAGCCTGCCCCTAATCACAAGTGTGATCCTCTGAGCAACTGGTACAAATTTATTTTTATCATAGTCATTTTCAAATGCATGTAGCTGTTTAAAAGTTTTTCATTTTAATGTCACTTGAATCAGTGTATGAATTCATACCATGGAAGGCGTATTGATACTGCAGAAAGCATTTAGCATCTCTATACATATGTTACTCAATGAAAGCAATTACTATGCATAAGAAATTCTGGCATAGATAATGAGATGCTGAGCAAAACGAAGCTTTATTTGTTCAAATGCAGTTACACAGTTACTTTGTAGTGATAAGGAAGAAGCATATTTCAGGGTGCTGAGCACTGCTGACTCAGGAGAGCTCCTGCAACATGTCCAGAGGTTATAAAAAGCCTGTTTCAAGAACAGGAAAATAAGACACAGATTAACTCCAAAATAATTTAGGTGAATCTCTCCCACACTAGTATTTCTACCTTCTTTGAATCACCTACAACTACCAGTTGCTACTAAGATGATTA